AGTATGCGCAGGCGGGGCGGGGCAAGGGGCGAGCTGCGGTGGGGGCGGAGCCCTAGCCAGTCCTTGAACCCCGAAGGCTTAGACTGAGGGTCCACACCCAGGAACGAGGATGTGGTGCAGCGCAGCCCTGGTTGGTGATGCCACCGAGATGGATGCACAGGGCGGACGAGCCCAATGCTCCCCAGGGACTCCAGCCCACCCTGCAGCCTGGAAACCCTCGTGTCTGCAGACCCAGTACAGAGGCGGCCTTCCCAGTTGCCTGGTAGCAATGGGGCAACCCAGTACCACCCCCAGAGGTCCATTCACGCGGCTGGGGCAGCGGGTGCAGCAGAAAGGAAGTGGACAAGCATCTTGTATCACCAAGTATAAAAGTCCTGTATTTCCACCCTGCCACTGGGGCATCTGTTCCCTCCTACAGCAGTACTGTTCTGGTTTGTTGTTCCGGGATTGGGTCTTCTGACAGCGTTTCTGTGCACTTCGTCTCGCCTATATTAGTGGTGACCTTCGGGTGAACTACCCTTGGATGGGCAGGTGTGCCGGTGAGCACCAATGTTGGCAGAACCCCACCCTGACACTGCAGCTGACGCTTTTGAACCCCAGGCCTGCCTTTGAAAATGAGATATGGCATTTCTACACTCGCAGGGAGCTCCGGGCCTCCCTGCGTCCATTCATTTAGGCGGACTCAAGGCTCTCAGAGGAGACCCCTGAACGTAAGCCAGGACAGCATTTTGCAGGAAGCTTGCCCTCTGGGCCTCTTCATCCCGGATGCGTGAGATCTCTGCTTCTTTGAGTCTTAGCTTTTCTCGGAGAGAAGCGTTCTCACTCTCTCTGTCCAGCAGCGCCTCCCGGTGTTCATTCCCGATCACTGCAAGGGAGAGGCTCAATGAGGAGGGTGCCTTTCCGTGTGTCCCAATGGCTTTCACCCCAGCATGGTCCAAAGAGTGAGTTCCAGGACGGCCGGGGTTATACAGAGAAACCCTGCCTGGGGGATGTGGTAAGGAAGGGGCACATCTCTAGGGGAGACCCCCACCCCCACCCCCACCCCAGGGCCAAGCTCAGGTGTCTGGGTGATAACCTTTCAGCTGCCGCTCCAGGGCTGCCACCTTCTCCTTCAGCACCTCCTGGGCCACCAGGTCAGCCTGCATACGGCCCATCTGTTCCTGCAGCTCAACTCTCACCCTGGTCACCTCAGCCACTTTTTCTTGGTCCTTGTTGCTCAGCTCCTGGGATGGGGTGGGGGAAGGTGAAACCACAGCCTGGAAGTGAAACCCCTCGTCTGTGCTCCTTGGTGCCTGCCACGATACCTGTTGCAGCTCTTCCAGGCGCCTCTGCTGGCCCTCCATCTGCAGGTTCAGCTGGCTGGCCCGGGCCTGGGACTCAGCCACCATCTGCTTTTGCTGCAGGCAAGTACCCTGAGCCTCATCCCTTGCCTGTGCCAACAGCCGAATCTTCTCTTCTAGATGAGCAAGGCGGTGTTGCTGTGGGCAGGGGAATGGCTGCTTCACATGAAGGGCTCCCAGTCTGAGCTCAAGACTGGAGAGACAGACAGTCTGCAAGTGGACTAACCACCCCTCTGCAGAGACCGAGCAGAGGGCTTCATGGCGTCACACAAGTTATCTCTTGCTGGGCTCTCCTCCTGCGTCTCAAGCCAGCTCTATCACCTCTAGCCTTCCTCGTGCCCATGCAGCCTAGGAAGCACCATAGCCCTGCTGGCTCCTGGGATCTCTGAACTCCAGTCCTGAGGCCCATAGCCCTGGTCTTGCCCCACTCAACCACACTCCTTTGCAAGGTGCAACAATTGGGCCCTACATACTTGTGGCCAAAGCTCACCTCCTCCAAGCGGGCCTGGTTCCTGGCTTTGATGAGCTCCTCCTCAGCTTGGCCTCGCTCACTGAGCAGTGCTGCCTTCATGCGGCTCAGCTCCTGCACAGCAGATGGCCACCACTAGCCCACTTGCAAACACACTGGCCCCCTTGGCCCAGGGCTCCTTCCAGGCCGCTGAGCAGCCAGGCTGGGAAAACTTTTCCATAAATGTCCTTGGAACCACACAGCTGTTTCCTTGCTCCCTGAGCAGGGCTTTTTACTGCCAAAGAGGCCTAAATGTCATTTCTAGGGATGGGTGTCTTTCAGGGATGGGTGGATCCCCACAGTGAGACCTAATGAGGCTGAAATTTAGGGGTGCTCCAGGATCCTGAGGCCATAAATGTCACCCTGCAGTCTAACCAGGGCCTGTGTAGTCTCACCTCTTCCAAGGACAGCCGCAGAGCCTCTAGTCTCTGTATTCTCTCCTGCATGGCTCTCTCACTCTCCTCCAGGTGACGGGTCATGTGATCCACCTGTCCAAAAGAGGGGGGTCAGGGCCAGCAAACACGGGCTCCCCTAGCCCTTGCCCCATGGGATCCCTACCCTGGAAAGCAGGTGATCATTTGGCAAAGGCCTGACTTGAGTGTCCTGGTGGGCACCCAGGACAGAGGCTCTGAGCAGAAGAACACACAGTGAGGGAGTCCATAGCTGCCTGAACCATGGATACTGTTGCCTGAAACTCTGGCACTATCAACTCAAGGTTCACCGACCAGGGGCATGCATTAGGAATATTGCACCACACAGGGCGGGTCTATAGGCCCCGAGTGGAGACAGGAGAGCCAGGGGTATTCATAAGACAGCACCTCCTTGGAGTGCAGCTTTTCCAAGTCTTCCATATTCTGTTTGGCTCTCCTCTTCTCTACATCCAAGCGCTCTGGAAGCCCAGTGGGGAAGAACATGGTGAGGCTTCTCTGGGGGTTGCTTTGCCCCTGGAGCTCCGTGTGCCCTTAGTGCCAAGCCCATCCATGCCTACCCTCAGCCTGAATAGCACGGATCTTCAACTCGGCAGATGTGTTAGTCAGCTCCTGCCTGGTCAGAAACAGCTGCTCCTGCTGAGACTTTACCTTCCGTTCCAACTCTTCCACCTGGGAAGCAGGCAACACTAGAGGAAGCCTCACCCAACCCTGCTACACTACCCTGGGCTCTTCAGGTGGCTGGCTCTATCCCCCTTTGGCCATACCCTCTCAAACCCACACCCTTCATACCTGGCTTCTAAGCAGCAGGTTCTTCTCATTGGCGGCAGACAGGTCTCTGAGGAGCTTAGATTCCCGATCTGCAGCTTCCTGAGTAAGAAGGGCAAGGTGACAGACACTTCCAGTTGGGCTGTTGCCATGCTGCCATCCACCTACTAGTCCACACAGCTCAGCTCCTACCTGCTGCTCCAGCTTGCGCTCCTTCTCCTGTCTCTGTGACAGGCTCTGCCGTTCCTGTTCCGCTGTGGTCAGCAGTTCCCCTAGGTCCTGGGCTTTCTGTTCTGACAGAGCCAGAGCAGCCTCTGTCATCTGCAGCCTACAAAGAGGAAGACCGGCCCAAGTCCAGCTCCATCAAGAATCTCATCTGCTTGGCAAACATCTGTTCTCACTCCTACCAAGCCTCTCCTCAAACCCCAAGAAGCACTTGTCCCCTCCTCTGCCTTGTGGGCACGGCTATAAGTCTCTAAGGTGTTTGAAAGTTCCTCTCCTCTGCCTTACTTGGCTTTGAGGGCATTGATGATGGACTGTCTCTCGTTGAGGGCTTCCTGAAGCTGCCCAACTCGTGCTGCTGACGCCCTGCGGACAGAGAGGTGGTTCTGGGAAGTCCAACCCCCAGAGCTGCTGGCTTCTCCCAGCTTTGGCAGCAGCTGTTAGTCTCTGCACATTTATGTCTATAACACCCTCACTCTGTCAGGTACAGGGCTAAGCACTCCACATCTGCCACTACTGCCAGCCCACCTGCTTGGAAGCAATGATCTTGTTTTCAGTCTCATAACAGCCAGGGCTCAGGTTAGATCATACTCAAATCAGAAGCTAGGCACTGGGAAGCAGGTACCCCTAGTTAAGCTATGGTCCTACTTCTTGCATCCCCAGGGCTCACTCACCTGCCGTTTCTGGCTATTTCTTCTCGTTGCTTATCAATGGTCTCCATCAAATCCAGAAACTGGAGACAAAGTCAGTCAAAGCACCGTTAGAAGCGGAGCCTACCCTGGTCAGGGACAGTACAGACTCCCATCAACAGAGTCAGGCTGCAGAGCACTCAACTGTCTCATTCAAAAGGAGGGTGGACTGACAGAGAGAGGCCTGGAGGCTAGGGCTCCCTGTCTGCTCTCAGTTCTGAGGTGAAATCAGTCAGCGTACAGGAAGTGGGGCCAGGAGGCCACTTTAGCCCTGGGTTGCCTTGGCTCAGAGGCCTGGTAGGAAGGAGGATAGAAGGGGCAAGGCAGCTAAACTGGGCTAATGAGGGCACTGTGTTCACCTGCTTGGACTTCTCTTCCTGGAGGTGCTGAACCTCCTTGCTAAGGATGTTGGTGCGGGCTTGGTTCTCCCAAAACGCAGTGAGCCGGTCCTGGTTGTGGTCCATGGCTTGTTCTGTCAGAAAAGGCCATGTGATCCACTGGGCTGGACATTAGGGGCAATGGCTAACTCAGTCCTGTGCTGCGTCTGGAAGTTGGTCATCTGGAAGCCCACCCTACAGAAGGCAACATCTCCACCACAAATCAGACATCCCCATCCAGTGCACCCGGGGGAAGCATTTCAGTGGAGGACAGGACTGGGTGATGCAGGAACCTTGAAACAGGAGGCCTTTGTACATTCGGGGAAGCTGCTCTGCTACCCCAAAAGTTGGCACTTCCTGGAGCATCTGGCTTCCCCAACAAAGGTCAAGGGGTATATGGCTTTAAGAGATGGGTGCTATCTTTTCAAAGACTGACAGCATTATAAGCCAGTTGTGGTACTTTGAGCCAGTGATCCCTGAAATTAGGCACCTGAGGCAGGGGGATTATGAGGTCAAAGCCAGGGGCTGGAGAGATGGCTCAGTGGTTAAGAGCACTGGCTGCTCTTCCAGAGGACCCAGGTTTAATTCCCACATGGCAGCTCACAACTGTCTGTAACTCCAGTTCCAGGGGATCTGACACCCTCTCTCTCTCTCTCTCTCTCTCTCTCTCTCTCTCTCTCTCTCTCTCTCTCACACACACACACACACACACACACACACACACACACAGGCAAAACATCAATTGCATACAAAATACAAATAAACGAGGTCAAAGCCAGCCTGGGCTACATAGCAAGACCATCTTTCACACACACAAGTAAGATCAAACAAAACAATTATAAGGACGATACCCACACAGATATAGGGCTGGGAACAAAAAGACTAGAGATGACAGGAGTCAAGCACAGCCAGCAGCAGGTAACGACTCTGCACCAGGGAATACGGCAAAGTCTGGGTCCAGGACTCCAGTCCTGAAAGCTCAGACTTGGGTGGATGATACCAGGTGACAAACTACTGAGCCCAAGGCCAAGTTATCATTTATAAGGACTCAGGGTTCACAGGCAGATGGAAGTGGGTTTGACATAAGTCAGCGCCAACCTGGTACCCCCACGCATGCGCATCCATCTACACACACAGCACAGACACAAACTCAGGGGTAGCTGGGGGAAGATACCAAGAAGGCTCCCTGGCTGAGGCTCAGGCCACCAATGGCTGTCAGAGCAAAGGCTTTAAGCCACAAGGTTTTAGCTTCTTGCCTATGAAACCAGCACCCCCTGACTACATAGGTGAACTTATGAGAGGTGCCGGTCTTCTGCTACTTCCCCCTTGACCTAGGCTAGCTACTCGTATCCTGGGCCTCCATGTCTTGAGCCTTGAGCCTCACCCTTCTGTGGTGGATGGGCGTTTGTTAGAGGGCTTACCCCAACTTGTAAGAAGCTAGCAGCCCCAAGCACTCATACCCACAGCTCTCAGGATGTCGCCAGGGATGTTGTTCCCAGCCAGGTCCAGCCTCCTCAGGGTTCTGTTGCTGGGGAGACAGTTCACCAGGGCCCGGCCCCCCAGGAGGCCAATGTTATTCCAGCGCAGGTCTAGAAGGAAACCTTCTGTCACTTGGTTGGATGGGAGGTACTGGCCCAGCCCAGGATACCTCCTCTGGAACTTTAATGTCTATGGCTGCCAATATAGCCAGGAGCCCAGGCCAGGGAAAAGGTGCAACTTAATACAACCCAATGTGCCCGGGTCTCATGGGGGTATAGCAAAGTCCAGGAGGCCTCACCCAGGTGCCGGAGGGTGGTGTTGCCCTTCAGGGCCAGGGCCAGTTCCTCGGCTCCCTTGTGACTGATTTGGTTGTTTCGGAGGTCCAGCTGGCGCAGGGTGCTATTGGCTGCTAGGCCCCCACAGAAAGAGGCAAAGGCATCTTCCCACATGCCTAGGTTGTTCCACTCTAGGGTGAGGCTACAGGAGGATGGACACAGGTTCTTGGCTCAACAGAACACATGGGGCCCAGGGTGTGCAGAAGGCCAGAGCTAACCAGCTCACCACCCACCAGTGGGTGAAAGAAGGAACATGGGTAGGTGGAGGACAGTGAGCTGGTTGCAGGATTGTATCCTCTGGGGCCAACCCTAGGCCACACACAGAGAGGAAGGCGTGAGGTACAGGTGAGGCCTGGATGTAGTCCTACCTCTGAATGGACTTGCTCTGTCGAAGGAGCTTTCCTAGAGCCTCGGCTCCTGTAGCTCGGAGGTTGTTGCCCTAGAAAAGGAACATCCTGACCAGTCAGTCACTCTTGTCACCCTGGTTCTGGATACCACATCTGTGCCCCACAGACTCAGGCATCGCAAAAGGCTATGAGACAGCTCTGGACAAAGGCATGGCTGCCAGATCCTAGTTTTTCTGACAGTAGCAGCATTATGGAGCTCAGTCCCTTGGAGTTTATGTGACACTGTTGAGATCAGGGCATGTAGGGCAGGCTGAAGACAACCCTCTGCCTTTAAAACACTCCCTCATTATTGGGAACTTTTTTTCCCCTCCAAGACAGGGTTTCTCTGTGACTTTGGAAGCTGTCCTGGAACTCGCTCTGTAGACCAGGCTGGTCTCAAACTCAGAGAGATCCACCTGCCTCTGACTCCTGAGTGCTGGGATTAAAGGCGTGCGCCACCACTGGCCGGTATTGGGACTCTTACAGACGGTCTCTCTAGCAACTGTCAAGACCCCGGGTCCCTGAGTCTGTCTCTTTCCACTGCCCAGGGTACAGGCCTGCTCACCTTTAGATCCAGACGCTGCACAGTGGTGTTGGCACATAGCCCTTGGAACAGCAGTGTGGACCCTGTGTAAAGGCAGCGGGAGGAGAGGGCTGCTACCCAGACACAGAAGCGGGACACCTGTCTTAGTGGTGCCATTGTTTAGTGGGAATGAGTTTCCCCACTTGCTGTAAGGTTAGACACATCTGAGCTTGCCAGGCCTGACCTTTCTTGAGCCAGCATGGGGGACCTGTGGAAGCTGGAGGCATTAAGGCTTCTCTATTTTAGTGACATTGGCCTCTACTCCCAGGTTTTGGAAAAGAACGCTAAAGTGCACAAAGAGAGGAGAAAACAAAGGGGGTCGGGGTAGGGGACACACTGACTTCCCTGCTTACGGCTCCCCAGGCCAAACACAACCAGGACACCCGCCCTTAGTCCAGCCTGGAGGCAAAGGGCTTGAACCCTCACTCAGAAGTTTCAGGTGCTGTTCTGAGGCCACCAGCCTCACCTTCCTCACTCAGCATGCAGTCGCTGAGGACAAGCTCCTTCAACAGCTTCTCGTCATGCAGCAGCTTGCCAAGGGCCCTGCAGGTGTCCAGCGTCAGGCTCTGAGTAGCCAGGTCCAGTCGGCCCCGTGGAAGCTGTTGCAGTTGCTGCAGGACAGCCTCCTGGGGTTCGGCCCCACTCTCCTCGCACAGGAGGCTGTAGGAGCGCCGCAACTCCTCCATGTCCCCGAATGCTGACAGGGCCTTGCAAGCATGCCCCTAAAAACAGGCTGCACGTAAGCTTGCTAGGCCAATGGCTGGGAGTCCCTTTCCCTAGCGAATATACACGGGGACGTTGGGCTGGCCCTATAAGGGAGGCAGGCCTAGGAATGTGGAATAGAAAGGAGGTCGAAACGGCTCCAAGAAGGGGTTCGGCGATAGGGAGAGCCGGAGCGCAGAGCACTGGCCTAGGAGAGCAGGTAGGCGCGTTGCACGTACCCTGGTCTGGCCCTGCGGCCCCTAGCCCGCCCTCGCGACGTGGCCTCGGGTCGCTGATGCTGTGCTGTGCTGTGCTGTGGACGCGGTCCCTCGCGCCTCAGTATCCAGGAAGAGCGTGGAGCTCCGGGAAGGAAGATAGGAACTACAACTCCCATGAGGCATTGCGGAAGAGGTGCTCTCAGTAGACCAATGAAAACGAAGGGCGGGCTTGCGCTGGGTCTCCGGCCTCGGGAACCGAAGCGGGGACGCTTAAGTGATTGGCTGCTGGGCTCGGAGGCGGGACTTCATGGACGCGCTCCCCGTTCATAGGTTGGGATGTGGGAGAGTTCCGGAGAGCGCGCACTGAGACTGTGGCCATGGAGGAAGCCAGCGGCTTCCGGAAGGTGAGGTCCTCGGGAGTGCTTCGAGGTTAGCTTTGGGCACTGCGGGTCCCCGCGTGACACTTGTGCAGGCTCGAAGTGAGCCTTGTCGCCGTGTCCCGTGTCTCTGGCGGGGGCCCGGCAGCAGGGCGGACCTGGGCAGAGCCGCCCGCGCGCTCTGCGGCGGCACTGAGCGGGTCTGCAGATGGCCCGGGCTGGGGACAAGGGGTGGGTCCCTCTGTCCCGGGAGGGACCGCCGGGCCCTTCCAGCCGGCGTGTTTCTCAGTGACAAGCAGGGGAAGCTGAAGCGGAGGTGTTCGTGCCTGCAGTGGTGCGGTTAGCGGTCGGCTCTTGTCACCGGGACGCTGCGCGCCCTGTGCACAGGTCGGGCTGCCCCCGCTCTCCCTTCAGTTCTTGAATCGTTTGGGGGGCTTTGGCCAGAATCATTGGATTACGGGCGGGCTGTCGTAGGAGAGTGACAGGAAGGGAGGCCCCCGTGTCCCTCCCTGACTGTGGCCTTCGGGATGAGGACCGGGAGCTTGGTGTCACCGGCTTTCCCCTGCCCTACCCGCCAGCACTCGCATCCACTCGCGCGGGGCTGTGGTCCAGTCCTGTGCTGAAGCTGTTGGTACCGCTCTGGTAGCGTGCAGGGGAAAGTACCGGCAGGGGGCACTGTTCCCGCGTAATTGTCCCTCCTGACAAGTTCACCTGTGCCTCAGACTCACGTCCATTCCCCCACTGTGCCCCTCTGCAGCGAATGGGTGTCATGGCCCCCACGTGAGTGATGCTCACGAATCAAATTCACTTTCCTCTGCAGGGTCCTGGGTGTCTACCGCTGCCAACCTTTTGCCTTTTCCCACTCTGATTTTCAGGGGCTCTTCATGTCCCACTTTGGGTATCTCCACTGAAATTTAAGCCTCTGGATTCTCACCCTTATCCCCACCTCACACATTGCCACCAACCTTTCGGGGTCTCAAACCATCTCTGAAACTTGGCTAGTCCCCTGCCATTACAGCTGGATCTCTGCAGAACTATTTCCAAGTGTCTTCACTTACAGCTAGAAATGACTTCCAATTTCTTGCCAAAGAAAGCTCCAGGGTTATCCATCCAGCCTCAGCCCAGCTCTAATATGTTGTGTGTGTCTGTCTGTGCAGCAGTAATCCAAGCTAGGTAGTGTCCACAGATTGCCAAAGGAGTCCGTGTTCCTCAAAGCTGCCAGGGCCCACCCCCTGGATCTGACGGAGTGCTTACTCAGCACTGAAGGCGGAGCTTCATCCCTCTGCTCTCAGCGACGGGAGTGATGTTACTGGGCTATCCCCCATCTCTTGACAGCCCCATGACATCTTTCCCCTCAATCTGGGAAGAGGCCCTACGATGGCACTGTTTGTTTGGAGGTTGGGTCCCTGTCGGCAATGGCACTGACTCCCTGCCCTTCCTCCAGGAGCTGGTGAGCAAACTACTGCATCTGCACTTCAGGGACTGCAAGACAAAAGGTTTGGGGCGCGAGTGAGGTGGGGAGGAACGTGGGGCTCCGGGAGGAAAGGGAGACTGCCCCATAACCCGCCCTTTCCCTCCAGTCAGTGGGGATGCACTACAGCTCATGGCGGAGCTCCTGAGGATCTTCGTACTAGGTGAGCCAAGGGCCCCAGCAACACCAGGAAAATGGAGATTTCCTTGTTTTATTTTTCAGTAGACAAACTAAGAGGTTTCTTCCTCAGCTACTGTCGGCGCTAAGTTCTGTCCCTGAAAAAGGAGCCCCCTTCTGAGGGTTGACAGTAGGGTGTGGGGGCCCAACAAGGGCAGGGCTAAATCTGCCCAGCTTCTCCCAGCTCACTTCAGAGTGTTTCACCAGAAGCCGCTGCCCGCGGGGTCTGCCAGGCCCAGGCAGAGGACCTGGATGTTGTGGATGTGGACCAGCTGGAGAAGGTGCTTCCTCAGCTGGTATGTGCAATGCAGGAGGCACAGCCTGCCACACTCAGTGGCGCCTGTGTGGCCACTCTGAGCACACCTCTTTTCCACAGCTCCTGGACTTCTAGAGGTTATACCCGTGGCCTGCAAAGTCCAGGATGAATTCAACCAGCACTGACACCTAGTTCCCAAGCTCTCCGGCTTTTAGAGGATGTGAAGACACCAGCAGCTGTTTCTCCTTCCTAGTTACTGCCTCTGGGGGTCCTTGTGAGACAGGTGCAGGGAAAAGTGGTCCAGCCTCAGCCCCCCACCCCCAGCCGCCTTCCTGCATCAAAGCTACTGTGTAGCTTTTTAACCACCTGACCCCCACCCCCAGCACACCTCCCTGAGCTGTAAATTTGTTCTTACAAAGCAATATCTAAATCAACACCATCTCTGAGGCCTGGCCTTCTTGTTGCCGTTAATCACCCCAAGTCTAGTTGCTTCAAAGCCTGAGCCCCATGCTCCCTTCCATCTCAGTGGGAGGAGTGCAGAACCCCGAGAGGGTGCAGGGTAACAGACAGCATGTGCGCACATGCTGCAGTAGAACCAGGGCCTTCACACATGTGGTTGGCTCACTTGGAAAATGTTACTCTTGCCACAGGCCACAGCAACTACCACTAGTAGGCACTGGGGTCCCAGAGTGTCTGTGTGAACCAGTAACTGTCCACTGGTGGAGGCAGAACCAGGGTACACAAGGTGAGAAGACCTGGAGATCTGCTGCCTGGGTCTGTCCTGTGGCCATGCTGAACTGCAGGAAGGCTCTCCTTTGGGTATAAGTAAGGGACAGGCTGTGCCCTCAGAGAGGTGGAGCTGAGAGGCCGACCTGGAAGCCCCAGTTCAGGCGTGAGCCCTCTGATGCTCAGGCCCTGGCAGGCCAGTTCTCAGGAGACGTGCAGGGTGTCTTGCTAACCTTACACATAGTGCCCCTGTAGGTCTTAGGGAGGCACTTAAAAAGCTCCTGTCAGTCCAGTTGGGGACACCGTGGAGTCCCCAGGAGACACAGTTACCGATCATCAAGGCCCAGAACTGAGAACCTTGACAGTCTTAGAAACCATAAACAGTACTAGAGGTGGGGATGGGAGGTCAAGTAGGAAAGACACAGAATATGAGGGGACAAGTACTCTCACAGAGTCTAGAATAGACCTGAGGGCAACCTCTGAAGGCAGTGGTGGTTACACTGGCTTTAGCTGGATGGATAGAGGGGCTCTAAATGCCCCCCCACATACCCCAAACACCCTCACCCCCACAGGAATTTTCTGGCTTCCAAGCACTGGGGAGTGGGTGGCAGATGGGAGACATTTGGGAAGGGGCTGGCTGGTGGGACACCAACCAGCTTAAGTGCTGGAATGGGACCCACAGTCCCACTGAAGGTATATAGAAAGGGCTACCAGAATACCGCAGGCCAGGCAAGCTAAAGGTAGCTTTGTGGTTAAGTGCCTGCTTCCTCTCTGGCTTTATGCCAGAAGCTGGGAATGGCCCTGGGTTGTAAGTAATTTGCCAAGGAGGCTTCCTCCTCCACTTGTGTCCATTCAGTAAAGGGGCTAATGAGGTCAGATATAAATGAGGAGGAAGCTGGCCTACCCAGGGTTCTGGCCTTCTCAAGCCCTCTGGGTAGCAGTGAATGAGGCTCAGCTAGATAGAGGCCTGAGGGCCCTTTCTGCAGAAGAGAAAATCCAAAAGCCTTGAGAGAAGCGCGAGTCTTTATTCCTGCTCGGGGTGGGTGGGGGTGGGATCCTGTGGCTGACGATGGGCATCTCCAGGCTGGTAGCTCTCACCTCTTGCCGGCTGTGATACAAACACCAGAATGACCACATGCTCCTGGGTTGCTGCCCAGCCACCCTGCCCAACCCAGTTAGTCTATGACAGACAGGCACCTGGCAACTTCAGCCACTTGGGCACTTTGCCCAGGCTTCTCCTCACAGGCTGGGCTGCCCCTTGAATGGGCTCTGGGGGCCCCAGTGCCCCCTCCTCAGTGATCGGCTCAGACTCCAGGGACACAGAGTCGGGGGCTGGCAGCAGTGGTGGGGATCCGGCGGCCCGGGACATACACCTAGGGGTGAGAGGCCAAGGCCAGGTGAGTGTTGGGCACAGCCTTGGAGGGGCTCCCAACCCCTCAGGAACTTACCTGGCCACCAGCACATCAGCTGCAGATGGGGAGACGGTGTGTTCTAGCAGTCCAGGTTCCAGGTAGAGACCTTCAGAGGCCAGAGCTCACCCTTAGCCACAGATGAGATCTGCACTTCTACCCACACACTGCAAGTGGGGTATGGCTAGGCAGGTGCCCCAGGGAGGTGGGTCCTGGGCTGCAGATCCCCCAAGCCCACGAGGACCTCAGAGTGATTACTTTCTAAGGAACATTGCATCAGGGAAACTGGGATTATGGGATAGCCCTGTGGGCAGGGGTCAGAAGTGAGGCCTCACTCACCTGCTGGTTCTTCAGCTCCAAAGTGTACAAGGGCAGCAGGGAAGAGGTTTGCCTACAGGGAAGGTAGGGGGCAGGGAGGGCTCAGAGGGCCAGACAGGCAGTGTTCAGCAAGCTTAGGCCTCTCCCTCTAGCACTCTATCCCCATGGACCACAGGACAGCAAGACACCAGTTAGGAGCCCCACTTTGCATTTGTGTGAGCTGTGGTGTCACCCTCCACACCAGTAAATATTTATGTCGGTCTGGAAGCCCACAGTGCACTTTAGTCTGTGTCTCGGGGACACTCTGCAGAGGGGGTAAGAGGAGACACAGGGCTGTTGAGTTGGGGTTTGGGTCTGCCAGCCTGACACTGTCTAGGAACAGAAACGGAAGAGGAAGACCTGTATCGCTGCCCCCCCTCCTACCCCCGCCCCACTTTATGCTCCCAGAAATAAGAGGGAGGGACTATGGGTTGGAGTGTCTCTGCAGTCAGGAAGGAACCAAGAGCCACTGGGTGACAGGAGTGCCGTAGGAGAACAGGCCCAGGCATGAGGCAAGGGCTGGTTCCCAAAATCAAGCTGCCTTAGGGAGGTCATGAGCTAAGAGATGCTTCCTTGTAAGATACACTGGCCCAGGCAGGGTTGTCACCACTGGACTAAGGAGGAAGCTGCATCCAGGACCAGCCCAATCCCCTATCCCACCCAAACAAGGATAGCTAGTGCTTTGAAAACCCAACTGAATGCTTGGGATCAAAGCTTCCTAAACCACATCTATCCAAAGGGGAGGAGGGTGGAAGGTATGGGGTTTCTTTCTGTCCAAGGACTGACCACTTTCTTAGGCACAGGTGTGGACTGGGAGCAAGAAGTAGACAGGGCTGCTTCCATTGACACCCCTGTCACAAGGCTCTGAAGCCTCCTTGACAGGATATAGGAGAGTACAGCCTAAGGCTATAGAGGCTCGAGAAGCCCTAGCATCACACATCAGAATGTTTTCCTTTTTCAGTCTCTGTACCCAAGGGTGGGGGAGGCTGGGGTTGGCTGACGTGGCCAAAGACTGAGAGCCTGGAGACTGGTAGGACCCGGGAAGGGGCTGCAGCTGCAGGCTGAGGGCATTCTTTCCATGCGGCTCCAGGCTCCTGTGAGTGCCACAGGCTGGAGGGGTGGGTGGGGTTGGGGGGATGTTAAAAGATTAATAAGAGTAAGCTTCAAAGGCCAGGCCTAGAAACGCTGAAACCTCAGCCTCCAGCCGGCAGCAGAGGGACACAAACAAGGGCGGTGAATGCTTTGAAACGCAATTGTGAGGTCTGCGATCAAAGCCTCATGAGAGGAGGCCTGTGGGGTGGGCGGGGGGCTGCCCTAGTGCCCCTGGAAAGGCGCCAGAAGGAAGCCAGGGATCCAAGTAGGGGGCGTGGGGAGGACAGTGCTAGAACCCTCCTCAGAATGGCTGGCCCTACCTCCCACCAAGGTAGCCTTGCAGTGGCCAGGGCCACCATCTATACTCCCTGCCAGCAACTGAGGAGGGTTCACAGGCAAGATACGGCCTCATTCTTTCTAGCACTTCTGGGAGCCTGGCTGGCACACCCACAGGATCTTATCTGTTTTTCTACCACTCCAGTTAAGAAGGTTCCCTTGGAAGTGAATGAGGAGGCAGCTCCAAAGCCCGACCCTTACCTGACAGTGCTTAGGAAGCTCAAAGAGAGCCAGATAGAACGCAGAACACGGAGAGAGCTGTGAGCTCTGTCCCCACGTGCCTACATCCCCACATGCCTACACCCAGCCACAGATGAGGGAGAGCTGAGAGCAGTGGACTTGTTGACATCAAGGGTAATCAGTTTTCAGGAGGCTGGGCTTTCATATGAACCCCCGGCAGCTAGTCCCGTGACAGTGTGAGCTTCTGCCCTCCTCAGAACACAGGAACAGCCACCACTTTGGATCATAACCAAAAGCAAGGCTGCCACCTTCCTCTTTCTCCCTAGGACCAAACCTAGTAAGAGGGCAAGACTAGCCAGGAGGTGGTGGCGTACGCCTCTGATCCCAGCACTCGGCAGGCAGAGGCAGACAGATCTCTGTGAGTTCAAGGCCAGCCTGGTCTACAGAGCAACTTTTAGGACAGCCAGGGCTAAACAGAGAAAACCTAAAAAAAAAAAAAAAAAAAAAAAAAAAAAAAAAAAAAAAAAGGAGGGCAAGGCTACCACCCTTTGGGGGTTTACATTCTCCAGCTGCCTGACTAGCCATGGCTAGGATCAAGCCTTTTGGCAGGGTCTACTTCCAAGATAGAGTGAGTAGCCTATATTCCAATGATAGGGGACAGGGAAAGCCCTGGTGGGGAAGTTGCTGATTCCCTCACAGGCTGGGTCTCAGTTGACTCAGTGGAGGTATGAGGAGTCCTCTGGGCATTGTTCAGTTCTGTCAGCAGCAGAGTCTAGGGCCTGCCTCACTGCTCACCTCTTCTCCAGCCTGGGGCAGGAAGTCAGGAGGGCATGGAAAGGGAGTCCTCTCACACAAGGGGCCCTCTAGACCCCTAGGATCAGTTGCTATGTGAACTATCCTGTCACCCTTCAGTGCCTGCCCCAAACTGAAACCCTTGCCCATTTGCTTGGGTCTCTGGGGTCCCAATGAAACAAGGGACAAGTGGACAGAAGACCATCGCAACCGACAAATGGGATTCCAGCCTCTGCTCACTCCACAGCTCCCCCACTGGAACTTAGCACTGGTCAGGGCTCCAGGCTCTACCCTATTCTCTACCCCCAGCACAGGCACACAGAAGCAGTAGGACAGGCCTGGCCATGTGACCACAAGTTTTAAGCTACACCCTTCCCCCTAGACCCCCCAGGACTACTTAGAGCTCACAGGGAGGGATGGAGGTGGCAAATGACCAGCAGTTTCCAGAATACACTAGAGGGCAAAAAAGGCAAGACCTCTCCAAGCCTCACAAAGTACAGCAGGCAAAGTGGGGCTGGGCACAGGGTCTCTAGGCTTTTTCTGCTTTCCTGATTTCCCTTCCTATGGCACCAACAAAACACTACTGATCTCCAAAGCCTCGAGCAAGGAGGTAGACTGGGACAACACAGGGAGACTAGGGCTCAGGCCCAGGAAGTTTACAATGCGAATAGGGCTCTGTTCCCACCCTTTGTGGTTTTAGTCCTCCCTGCCCCCACTGCCCTTAGAAAGCCCTAGCTCTCCTGGCCAGTGGCATCCCCTACACACCCCATATGCTCTAATGTGGACCACCCCTGGGCAGCAGAGTCCAGCCCAGCTGCAGCTTCCGGGGGTGCTGCGTGCTCACCTCCCAGAGGGGGCAGGCCTCTTTCCCTCAGCAGCAGGCAGGGATGCCACCCCTTGGGAGGCCCTGTGGCTCCAGACAGAGCTGACGATGAAAGGAGACTGCTGGTAGCAGGGGCAGCGTGTCACCAGGAATCAGGCAAAGGCGGATGAGAGGCACCCTGGGGCTTTGGGGGTGGTGGTGCATATGAATCCCGACTGGGGGAGGGGACTGGGCACTGGCCCTCAATCCCAAAGCGTCTTCCAGATTCAATGTTTATCAACAGGCTGGCCAGGGAGGTAGGGAGGGGCAGAGATGAAGGAAGAGAGCCGGCGCCTGGAGGTTCATAAGCCAAGAAGGGATCACAGGGTCACAGCCCCACTCTGGGGTAGCTCCCAACTTTCCACAGCCATGTGGCTCCACTTCTTCCCTCAACAGCCCCTGGTGAGCTTCCAGCTTGCCAGCCCGCTTGCTCCCAGCCCCATCTCACCCCAATGGTGGCAGCTCTAGGCAGCCAGTGGAGCCTGTCACCCCCAACCCAAACCTTTGTAGAGGCCTTCAGGCGCCTCTGTTGTTAATTAAAATATCTAAAGACTTTAAAAAGGAAACCATTAGGCCAGAGGGGTTAGGGAGGCCCCAGCTGCTCTCCCAGGGGGCTAAGGATAAGGCATTCACTCCTCCTGGCTCTGCAGGGCGCAGGGTCAAGTAGCCTCTCTGCCTTGGAGCTCTCTGGGGCCAACCACGGCATTCCTACCAGAGACCAGCAGGGGCCCAAGGGAAAAGCTGAACCCAGGAGAAGATGGCAGAGATAAGGGCCAACAGCAGCCAAGGACCCCAGCCCTCTTGGGGCTCTGTACCACTCCTGGACCAAGCTGCCAAGCCCCTTCCTCACCCAGATGCTAGGGGGCTGGTGTCACCCAGCAGCCCAGGGGCCAGGACCTCAAGGCAGCCCCAGCTGAGGACAGCAGGCCAGCTCGTTGGGCAGGCCCATCCCCACCCCGGGGCCAGGCAGGAAGCGGAGGAGGTTGGAAAGCCCTGTCAGAAACAACTTCAGAGGCGCACTGCTCCCTCTGAATTCACCGGCTCTAAAAGGCTTTATTACCCACCCGCAGGGCCTGCCAGGGCGATCCTTCCCAACCCAACCGCAACATGGTGCCCTGCCCTCCCAGCACAGCCAGCCCCCCAGCACCCTTGTGAGGCAATTGGTACCTGAAAGAGAGTCAGTGTGTGGTCATCCAGGACCATTTTGGGAGGAGCGATGACTGTGGAGAGAGGGGGCTGTGTTGAGGACACGGGTAGCCCCCATACCTCAGGGCAGACAGGCCTCAGCAGGCACTTGGGAAAAGTCTCTCAGGTCACATGCTGCCCACCCATCTCAGCTGCTCAAAGGGGCCCTCACCACCCCGTGACTGCTATGCTTCTGGATCCACTGTCTCCCTTGCAGCCTGAGCCACGGGGTGGGACTGGGAAAGAGGCCAAGCTGGGGAGCTGGGCACTGATACTCCCTCCAAGAGACCACAGACAAGTCCCAGCCCAGAGAGGAGGTTACACCTTGCAAACTAAAGAGGGAAAGAGGATGGGTGCCAGATGGAGCGGAAGCAGGCTGAGGGGCAGGGACTGACTTACACAGGTAAAAGGAGAGCTCAGGATTCCCCAGGTGGCTCCTAACAAAGTCTCGAAGGTCCCCCACTGTGGAGAAAGGGAAGGTCAGCAGAGTGGACCCTTCCAACACTCACTGCTCAAGGCTCTCCTGGGAACCTAGAGACATCAGCCCCAGGGCTATCCCTGGCAGTGCAGACTCAGCAGCTTCCAACACTCACTGCTCAAGGCTCTCCTGGGAGCCCAGAGACATCAGCCCCAGGGCTATCCCTGGCAGTGCAGACTCAGCATCTCCCTGTTGGTAGATGCTAAGCCCTAGATGTGGGGATTGGATTCAACAGTGTATTCCCCACCTTCCTAGATGGTCAGCCTGGATGCACCACAGGACAGACTGCTTCCAGGATCCATATCCTGAGGCAAGAGTGGTCTACTGACAGCCATACCCAAGCTAAGCCCACAGCACCCCCAGCACCTCTTGGGAACCCAAGTCCTCAACCTGAGCTCTTCCAGGGCTCAGGCCTGGAGCTACTTCATCCTCCCTGTTGTAACAGACCATCGGTTCTGGTGGCTTTGATGCCCTCTTCTGAGAGGCTTCCTACCTGCCATGTCCAAAACCCTCAGGATCATGAACTCTGGGGACAGGAGAAGAACCAATCCAAGCCTGAACTCAGAGCCATTTGAGTGTCACACAAAGGTTAGCAGTCTTAACTCCCCCACCTTCCTAAAGTTCCAAAGGCTGGAACTGTGGTCTTGTAGCTTACAACAACCCAACAGGGCACAGTGGTTCCCCAGGCCACTGCGGGTACTGACCTGTCTCACTAGGGCGGAAGAAGCCCTGCAGGATGTAACGGTCAGGGAAGAGGACCCTCAGCGCCACCTGTGTAGTCAGAGGGACAGTCAGGGCCACACCCAGCACAGGGAGGGGCCAGAGCCACACCCAGCACAGGGAGGGGTCTCATTGCTCAGTCCCTACCACAGGAGCTGTCAGCTACCGCAGGCCTAGTTTTCCCCATGGTCCTCAACACATCTGAGCTACAAGGAAAAGGAGCCAAGTGCTCAAATGTACAGACATATGCTCTCTAAAAGATCACTAAGCGCAGCATGTGGCACACTCAGGAACTCAAGGTCACTGCTGCCTATAGAGAAAAACTGAAGCCAGTCTGGACTCTATGAGCCCCATCTAAATGAATGGATGAATGGACAAGTGAATGAATTAATATAGTGCAACCTGTGTATATTTTCAAATCTGCCTTGTTGGCTGGGTGTGGTGGTATATACTTGGACATGCTCAGGAGATGGAGGCAGAACACCAAGTTCTGAGCCCACCAAATAACAACAAAACAAAGTGAAGATTTTTTTTTCATCAGAGGGTTAGGAGAGTCAGTGGTGAACTTGGCCAGCATGTACAAGGCCAAGTTCAATTTTCAGCACTACAAAGAAAAGAAAAAGCTTTTCATCCTAAAATGCTGAGGAATTAGCTGGCCACTCCTGGGCCTCAGGTGCACAGACCTGTCATGATACCCACTCAACCAGGGAATACATGCCCCGTGTGGTGGTGTGGGCTACACACGCCTGGGGCTGCCTAACCTGTGAACTGCCCGTGGGCATGTCATAGTTACTTGCTGGGTCATGTCTTCCCCACAGGAACCGAAGGACATCCTTGCTTACCTTTGGGTAGCGTTCCAGTTTTTCTTTCATCTGTGCTTCCCTGAAGGCCTTGGTCACTAAGGGGGCTTCTTCCAGGCGCTTCCTGTGGTGAAGAGGGCCAGGTCTCAGCAGAAAAGCTCCTCACCCTGAGCCTTAGAAGCAACTGGCTTCCCTTTGCTTTCCAAGGGGGTAGGAAGGGACCAGAGTGAAGGAGAGCCGTGGGAGACGACTAGAGGGCCAGGGGCACCCACCGCTCACTCTTGAGCTGGGCCAGGCGTCTCCTCACATCATCCACGGTCACTTCAAAGAACTCGTCAGGCACCTCTGCTGGCCAGGGCTGTAGCAAGTCCTCCAGATCAGGGTGGCACACTACAGGGTCTCGATCAACGGGCTGCGAACAGAGAAACTCAGTTGATAGGGCTTCAGCACGTGTCTGTGTATGTGGGCGCACGCCCATGAGCGCACATGCATGTGCATGCATCTCAGCCTCTACAGTTAGAACAGCATGCAGATGCTCCATCCCAGCTCACCATTTCACAGTCTGTGTAACAGCCAGAGCAGGGGCTGGGACAGCAGGACTTAGAAGCCTTGAGGTCAGCCCTCACTGGGCATCAGTACTGCCCATGGGAACTCAACTACATGGCTGCCCAGGAAATGTCCTAACAGACTTCTTGCCCCAACGGAAGAACCTCAAGATCAGGATGCCAACTTGGGGAGGTATACCCCAGTCAGGGACCACGTCAGGGGCTCCAGAAAGGAAGGACAGTGGAAGCCACCAAATTAGAGTGTTGGCAAAAACTCTAGCCAACTGCCCCTACTGCCCTCTCTCGGCCTCAGCCCCAAAGCCAGGCTGACTCCACCTCTCCCCTGGGGAGCAAACTGGCCTTCCCTCTGCCCACCCAGGGACAGAGGAAGGGACAGCGTTACTCCTACCTAATTGGCATCAATGGCAGTGAAAATTACAAGGCAGGCCCAGTCCATTTGTGGTGCCCAGGGTGGTGGATTACCTCCTCTGTGCTGGGGCCACCCTATGGAGCCAGGCCTGACCAAGGTGCCCAGCTGGGCTGGCAGAGCCCATGCTAGGTCCTGTCCTGCAGACAGAATAGCTATAATGCCACAAGCCAGACCATGAAATGCTGATAACTCAAGGACAGGCTGTCTGACCCGAAGAACCAGCTTTCTCTTCTTGCCTTCAGCACCTTTCACAAAGCAGGGCCCCAAGCCATAACGCCATCATTCTAAAGATGGCTTCAGACCCAGAGAGGTTGACTGTGCCCAGGACCAAGGTACTGACTCTCAATACATCCACACTGAGTGTATTTTGATGTATACCTGTCCCAAATGTCTCCTGGGAGATTCCTCCAATGAATACTGTCCATGGACACCAGATATCTATAATCTACTAAGCTCTGTCATATTGCTCTAGCCATGGAGCAATGGCTACTTGGCTAAGAAAGGTTGGCTGAGGCCTGGGCAGGGGCCCACAGGTGGCTAACCAGGGCCCCAGGGGGCTGCTCCTTCAAAACCACAGCCATGCAGTAGCCACTGCGGTCAGTCTGCTCCAGAGGTCTTTCTAACACAATGTCAGGCGCCAGGCTCCCCCCATGACCACAGTGCCTGCATTCCAGCAGGGCCACAAGCTTGCCCAGGCTCCAGGGGGGAGGACAGAATGTAGACACATCCTGAGCTATAAGCAACTGTCCATGGACAGCCAATCTAGGCTAGGTTGGATCCAAAGGCAAATGTAGCCTCAGGCACTAAGGATCAAAGGCTGGAGGAGCTTAGAGATAGGATTTCTTGCCGCCAGTTCTGGACCCCCCCTAGGTACAACCTGGCTGGGGACAGCAGGAAGGACAGTGCATTGCTAGCTGCTTCCAGGACAGGAGACACAGGGGACATCAACACCACTCTGCTGATTTTGTTTTACAATTATGTAAACAGTGTTCTGTCTGCATGTATCCCTGCAGGCCAAAAGAGGGCCCCAGATCTCATAACGGATGGTTGTGAGCCACCATGTGGTTGCTGGGAATTGAACTCAGGACCTTTGGAAGAGCAGCCAGTGCTCTTAACCTCTGAGCCATCTCTCCAGCCCCACGTTGCTGAATTTTAATCAGAAAAATAAAACCACTATCTTTCATTGTTCTGACCCCTCCTTCTAGTTCCTACTCTACTCAAGAGAACTATCTACCACAAAGCACAGGCGCCCACTCAGGACAGCTCTGCTACACCTTACGAGCACTAAGGTGGAGGGTTCACTAGCACCTGATGGTAAGGATCAGGCCAGGTGAGCAGCTATAGAAGGGTCCAAGCCTCTAGAATCTCCCATGATAGCTCAATGGTCTGCAGCTGGGCTGGTAGGAAGTATCACATGATCACCAGGGAACACAGGATGGGGAAAACTCCATCAGCCCCACAGTCCACCCAAGACAAGCTCATAGCAGAGCCTCTGGGCAGAAAGGGGCTCCAGCAGGGCCATCACTAGCATGGAGGCTACACAGCTGCCCCCAGCCATGCCTGACCCCATTTGCTGGGGATGCTCTGCCAGTGCCTGGCTCTCAACTGCAGCCCTGCCAACCCTGACAGTTCTACATTCAATTCCCACCCTAGGTGTCTTATGGAGATGTTCTGGAGATAAGATATCAGGACAAAGTGACACAGTGACAGCTATAAAGGAGCAATGCCTGACAAGGCCAGTGACACAACCAGAGCATCACTGAGGCACGAAGGAGAGAAAGGGACTGTCCTGCTACAGTGGTGCTAAAATCCAAGATAATGTCTTAGAACCCCAGTTTATGTTGTGATAGAGGATACAAAAGGCTGTGTTCCATTGGGCTGGGGCTGGGAGAGGACCGGAGGGAAGTTAAAGGGCTCCTGGTAGTCACAATGAGACACTTGGGCAGGAGACTCCCCAGGACAAGCCATCCCATCACAGAGCCCACTGAAGGGATAGGGAGCTCAATGTGAAGGGCCTCCCAAAGAGCCTTTCCCAGGAAGCCCATAGGTGTTGGGCCCAAGTCCTCAGAATAAGCCTACAGGGACAGGGCACATGGTTTCTATGTGACGGGTGAAGAAACTGAGTGCCTGAGGCACAGCTGGCTTGGGAGTATTGCTGCAGAGGGCAGATGACCTCCCTGCTCTCTGTGGGCTGTGATGGGTGGACATTGGGATCAAAGACCCCTTACTAAAGCCTGTCCAGGAGGCTCTGATTCCAGGGAATCCAGGAGCACAACAGATTCTGAGGCTTGGCTAGCAGTGAGGGTCATGCACACTGACCAGAAAAGAGGCAAGGTGGACAGGAAATAGCCATAAAGAGCTGAGCAGGACAGGAAGCAGCAGTATCCATAACCCATATCCCCAGACTCCACCACATCTGACCCCACGTAGCTAAGAGCTAGGACACAGGAGGCACATAGCAGAGAGCCCCTGAGAAGCAGGTGGGTACTACTGTGAGCAATGTCCAGGCTGGAGTCACCCCAGGGTCAGTGGGAAATAGGTAGCAAAGGACTATGCCAAACAGAGACCCTTTGGGAGGCGCACTCAATATAACCTGGCCTGGCCAGTCATGACAGGGTCTGGTGGCCACAGGATACCCTACTCATATCAGAAATGGGCCTGCTGAAGTTTCCTTTTTGACAGTGATTTTCCAGGACATGATGACGGATGAAAAAAAAATATGGGAACACTATTTAGAGATGACCTCAATCTCAGATTTTCCAGATTCTCCTAGAACAGCGGCCGCCTGCCTCCTTTGCTTGCTCTTCCTCAGCCAAGCCGGCGCTGACAATGGATTTGGTGAGAGGGAATGTGAAGCGTTTCCCCTTGAGGCTTTGAGCTTAAATGAATCACTACAAGAGGGATGCAGGCCAAACCTCCGAGTTACTCACAGGGCTCAGCCACCCTTGGGAGGGAGGCGCCTGAGCACATGGACACCATCAAAGGCCCAGGACGGCACAGCAGGAGGCAGCTGTGCCAGAGTATGAGGCCAGACCGACTCAGGCTTGGGGATAACACAGAGGGGTGTTGCTCTTCCCCAAGATGCCAAGACACCTACGGGGAAGCTCCACCCCTGTGCACTGACAGCGCCCCTAAGGCAGGTTTTCATTTTCATACACCTCTCTCAAGTGCGTAGCCTCCCCTCTGTGGATCTGAATTGCCTCCATCTCAAAGAAATGACCAAAGCCTTTGAAAAGAAGACAGCACAGCCAGGCATGGTGGCGCACGCCTTTGATCCCAGCACGCAGGAAGCACAGGCAGGAGAATCCCTCAAGTTCAAGCCCAGCCTGGTTTACAGAGCCCAGGACAGCCAGAGTTACACAGAGAAACTCTGCCTTGAAAAAAGTCACAATGAGGAAGAATCGGGAGAGGAGGAAGAGAAAGAAGGAGGAGGAGGAGGAAAAGGAAGGAGGAGGAGGAAGAGGAAGAAGAGGAGGAGGAAGAGGAGGAAGAGGAAAAGGAAGGAGGAGGAGGAGGAGGAAAAGGAAAAGGAAGGAGGAGGAGGAAGAGGAAAAGGAAGAGGAGGAGGAGGAGGAAGAGGAAAAGGAAGAGGAGGAGGAGGAGGAAGAGGAAAAGGAAGAGGAGGAGGAGGAGGAAGAGGAAAAGGAAGAGGAGGAGGAGGAGGAAGAGGAAAAGGAAGAGGAGGAGGAGGAGGAAGAGGAAAAGGAAGAGGAGGAGGAGGAGGAGGAAGAGGAGGAAGAGGAAAAGGAAGGAGGAGGAGGAAGAGGAAAAGGAAGAGGAGGAGGAGGAGGAAGAGGAAAAGGAAGAGGAGGAGGAGGAGGAAGAGGAAAAGGAAGAGGAGGAGGAGGAGGAAGAGGAAAAGGAAGAGGAGGAGGAGGAGGAAGAGGAAAAGGAAGAGGAGGAGGAGGAGGAAGAGGAAAAGGAAGAGGAGGAGGAGGAGGAGGAGGAAGAGGAGGAAGAGGCACAGTGCAAACCCTCAGCAGTGGAATGTGAGCATGTTAGTTACCCAGCCTCACAGGCATCTATCACCTCCCGAAAAGTAATGGCTACATCAGTGAAGCAAGGGCATGGCCTGGCACAGGCTGGCAGCTGCTCCTGGGGCTCAGAAAAGATAAGCCTCCATGCTGGGTCTGGTGGCAAACGTCTTCAATCTCAGCATCCAGGAGGCAAAGGCAAAAGAACCTCTAAGAGTTCAAGGCAAGCCTGGTCTACACAGTGAGTCTCAGGGCAGCCAAGGCTCCACAGTAAAACAAAAGAACAAAACAAACAATAACAATGAAAGGTAAACATCCAAGATAGGACTGAGCCCTGGAATATGCACCTAAGACAGTCCGGGAGCCCAGGTTAGGTGGGACAAGTGAGGGGTCCTTGCTCGGCTGGACCATCCCCTACCACACTTGCCCAGTGAGCAGTAAGCCCTAGAGTTACTCAGGGGTA